AAAGGACCTTTTTCTATAAGATATATATATATCATTTACTGTTCAGATTAAAAAATTGTCAGCGAAAGAGCGGCTTTTGCAACGTGTTCATACAAATTTCTCCAAATTCGCTTGCTTTTCAATGAAAAATTCAATCTCTTCCAAGAAAAAAGTTGCTTAATAATAGCTATGTTCCATATTTGCGATGTTCTTTAGTGCTAAAAGCTGTTTCAGAGTTAGAAAATCGTATTTTTCGTGACTAGAGAAGAAGCACAACTCACCTTTTAGACCGGCGTCTTGCAAACGTGCTATTTAGAAGCCTGTCAACTGCTGACGTCTTATTGGCCAATAGAAAACGAGAATTTTATTTACTATTGTCAATCATTCAAGCCTAAAAAAAACAAAAAAGCTTCGAGCTTACCCCCTATGGCAGTCTGTCCTTCGAGGTTGGCATTGCTGAGACTGGTGTATCGAGTGTTGTCTTTCTCTCGTCAAAATAAGAATGCTTTTCCCCACAAAAATCTATATTTTTACAGATGACCCTCCCTTCTGAAGCCCCACCCCCTCCCCCTCGAACTAAAAAAAGTAACCCGAAATATATGAAAGGATTTTGGACTTACTTGTTATTTTGAGGGCAATTAACTAGAAAGCATAAGCTACTTTAATCATCTAAATGAACTATTTACTTGGTTAATGTCTAATTAGCTCTCTAAATACAAGTAAATGATCATTTTTCTAGCTTGATTGTAGCTTTTCTTACTGCTAACTAAAGAAAACTACCTAAATTTTCTCTTTAAACTCAGTGAATTTGTATGGGAATCCGAGAACGATGTCCGAACTTTTTGGTGACCGTAACACGTGACCGTGAATTCGCTAGAGGCAAATTTTGTTTTCTATTGGATTTGACGATTCTATCCCCCCACATAAACAAGCAGTGACGTCATAGTGAAATAGAGCAGTTCCGCTTTCAAAGTCCTGAAAAATGATAAATCTGTGAATTTCATTCTGCGCTTATATTGTCGGTACCGCCCAGCAAGACAGAATGACGAAGCTAGCATCAGCATTGTACTTCATAGCTGTTGTATGCATGGGTCTTCACACAGGTAACGTACAATAGTCCCCTTCACTAATGGTATTTGATGTAAGTGAGTTGCATAAGTATCAACCGTCTCGCACTCTTAGGGCCGATTTAGACGGTACGATCTTAGCCTACAACTATCGTATCCACCAGGGTCTGAATGGGGTTAACTGTTAACTGAGAAACGGCTAAAAAATTAACTGTTAACTGAGAATTCCGTATTTTTTTAGCTGATAACTGAGATCCACGAGATTTTTGATTCATAAATTTGAAAAAATATATTGTTTTTTCAGTATTCAAAAGCTATTTGAGGTCATTCACCATAATGACCATAATATTGCCTTGTGTCAGTAGATGATCTGTTACAATAATATTTATTGTTGATGTAATAGAGTTGAGTTGACCTTTGATCATTTTCCGTCGATTTGCTGGACGCTTTGGTCAGTATAAATAGTGGTATCGTTAAAGTTCTTGTTAGCTATTATAGAAAGGACGAGGAAGCTCCGTTCGAGCGCCACCGAAGTCGAGTACCCATTGACTTTGCTTTACGATTCTTTGTGCCAAAATTAAAACAGCATTTAAGCGAATTTCTTGGCCTCAAGGAGCAGGCAACAAGAACAACGCACGGTCTTGTGAGTTTTCACTTACATTTTGTAAGCTCTACCGGCTTTCAAAAGTGTCAGGAAAGATCGAAAACTACGCCATCAATAGTGATAGCATCAGCAAAAGCTATGTCCATACCAATAACATTTGTCAACGACAATAGTGTGGCAGTCTTAATTAAATACTGGGCAAATTGACAAATATGAATTTGACTCAGATGAAGAGACACGCGCTAAAGACGATGAGCTGACTGTTAAACCAGCATGCGTAACCCGTTCAGGCAGGGCTTTACGAGCATTCTTACGAATGGTTAATGATCATGTCCAGAAGGTAAAAAGGTACAGTGAAATGTTAAAATTGACAATAAACGTATAACAAAAGACTCATCTATATTTTCTTAAAATGTAAGGTTCAGTCTTTCCACAATTAAAGCCATACTTAGGATTTTTATTGGCTCTAGCCATTTGTTTATGCACCAGTCATTTGACATC